CTTGCGTGGCCAGAAGGCTTGGGCCCCTTCCGAATTCTGGGCCTGGCTTTAATTGTTATGATGGCGACCAAAATTAGACTGAGTAGGCTGCGACTTAACTTGAAAGCAGTCGACATAACAGCGCTCTCTGGCACCACCGCACCAGCAAGCACCATGGGGTCATACATTTCAATCATGGATAATGGACCTATCAACCAGTTCCATGTCGACGTCCGTCGTCCTTTTTGGCGGAGTTCAGTCCTTCCCCACCGGCAACACGACGAATGACGTTCTTGTTTCTGGAGTCGTTTTTGGCCCAGAGTGGGGTGGATACCCGCTTGGTAAACCCGATTCTGAACAGTATGTTGCTTCAAGCTTGTAACTGCGGGAGTGTATATGTGCTGACGCGTTGTTTTGTAGATGACACACGAGCAGCGGCGTTCAATGGTTGCCTAGTATGAGTCGATGATTCAGAGTGAGGACACCTCTGCGTTTACTGTCGTGATGACAACATCGCAGTCGCCAGGCGTTGGATTAAGGAGAACACTTAAACGAGGGGTACTCTTGTATTCAATATCAGATTCCATAACAAGAACAGGAAGTTGTCGTCGTCTATGGCCCGGATTTGAAGCTGAGCCACGTTTGAGTTGTTGCCTAAGGGCTTGAGAGCAAGTTGAGTATTAGCGCTGGCTTGAAGAGAAGTGGAGGGAAGCCGCACTAGGAACGCTAGCATGTGTGTTGTTTCTTCGCGAACCGAAAGGAAGAGCAAGCTTGAAGCCAGAAGGCGTGACATCACACTTTCTAAATTCTCCTCTTCTCTTTGCGCGGTCATGTCGTCAAGCCAGCCCACCTATCCCAACGCCTTCTTCAGCTCAAAGCACGGGGTGGATGGAGACGAAAGAAGTGCTGCTGCAGCAGGGGAGGATGTAGAGGGAGAGGGAAGCTAGACGAGGGGCGACACATGGGTCATGGTGCATTGCGGGTACTTATTGGTGCGTTGACCTGTTTTTTTTCTCGCTTTTCAAGTGTATCATAGCAACCTTAGGACTCAATTTTCACTCTCAAATCATACTGTGCAGCGACTTCGGAGCAACGATGAAGTCCTCACTAATCCACACATACCGCGTTTATTTGTCGCCGACGCTGTATCCACATCCACAATCGCTTCCAACGCCATTTTCAAGGGCTTTCAGAGCCAGAGAACGCCCTTCGTTTGCCAAAGACTGGTCCCCTTCCGCTCAATAGACTCATTCTCCACCGTTTCTCCCAGATGTCGGGGCTCGAGCACATCTTCGGCACTCTTGTCCCTCCTCTGTCTTCGTTTCACCCCCACTTTGGCCCTGTCGCGCTCCTTCTCCCGGGACCAAGCATCTTCACCATCGACAGTGACGAAAATGGACAGCCAATTTGAATAGCCTTGCGATGGAGAACTCTGGTATGGGTGATTATGTGCTCTGAGAATATCGAAGCTAACCACTAAGGGGCAGATAGACATATTACGAATGCATATCCACATACATACCCGTCAATACATCCATCACCTCTTCACGAAAGATGACCACTGCAAGGCCCATGGATTCTTGCTCATCGACAACGAATGCGAAACCCCATAACCCGACTTCAATCAATGCTTCCTCAAAGCCAGACATACGCGCGGCTGTCTTTTTAACGCCTTTTTGGCCTGAGATGACCCAAGCACATCCAGCAGACAATCGTGCAGCGTCGCGAAATCATTGTGTAGAGGCCTACAAACCGTATCTTCTTCTGCAAGCCACCACCACCCTGACATTCAATGCTTCCCTTGGCGTATTTCGACGGTTATGGCCATTGTCAAGATCGTTCTCCAACGTTGACGCTGTTTCGACACATACCTCATCCCTACAATGCTGTCCGAACTTGATATGGCTACTGCCGTTGCTTCATCACCTTCCCGTCTTGCATAGCCACCTCCCTGTCGACCCAATCTAAAGTGTGTCCCAAAATGGCAAGTCACGTGGACCCATGGCCTTTCGAAAGACTTCGATGTATCTCTCCTGATACAGCAGCTGTGGCTCCCACTGCTATATTGTCATGTGCCCCACACCTCCCTTTCTCTACCCAATTCTTTTGGCCGTCCTATCCGCAGTGGAAGGTCTTCGTCCAGCGCGTGTTCTGTGCAGCGACAGTGGGCATGTAGGCGGGGTCGTCGCGCCGCAGAGTGGCATTCGCGTTCGAGCAGGTGCTCCACCATGAGGATTAGATGACAGGGAGTGTCCGCTGGAGGACGTGCGTGCTGCTGTCGCTTGCCTTCAAGTCTGGCGTCGCCGGTTTGTTGGAGGAATAACGATACTCAAGTTTTTTTGCCAGTCTATTTCCTTTTAGTGCCGCATTGTCTGTCTATGGACCAAGAGTTGAAGTGTTATTATATATCTAATGTTGTACAACAAGTCAAACAAATTATCGGTCAACACCCCAGTCTTTCAGCTTCTTGCACTCCCATGATTCCCGCATCGGATGGCCATTCGGCATCAGAACCTCAACGCCAAATGTTCTCTGCAGGTGCTGCAAATCGCGGATTTCCTCTACCATACGGCGCAAGCTCGATGACAAGCAGCAGGGAATGAAAGTGTCAAGACCAGACTGGGAATGCTGATGGAAAGCTCTCGGAGACGGGGAGCATTCACACTGTAAATATAGAAATTTAGCGTCTGCTTAAAATGTTACCTAATTGACTGATTCTTACAATGTTAGCTGTTTTAAGTTTTTCCTAATGTTATTCCCTAAACCACTGGTTTACACATCTGTTTAAGCATGGACTTTATTGCGTCCAGAGGTGTGGATGCGCGATAGCAATCCGCCGCCAGCGTTGACAGACAGCGGTAATTTGCAGTAGCGTGCGGTTAACATCGAGGGAGGGAGAGGAGAACACTGCTGCCGCGAAGATGTGGCAGAGTATCTCGGCAGGGAGAGTGTTGATTGGGTAGACAACGGTGGATAGGTCGTCTTGGAGCAGTCTTCAAGGATTTGTAGCTGGGTTTTCAGTTGATGAATCGTCTTTTTGACCCGCTCTGCCTCGTCTCTGAGTTGAGAAATAGAAGGGCCGTCGAGAGGAGGGTCGGGTCGGCGAGGGGCACAGAAGAATGAGAGCGCCTGGACAGGATCGCGGCCAGACATGACAAAAAAGCTGAAGCAATCTTGACGGTCGAGCGGTGAATAGATAAGCAAAGGTTGGAACATTACTTATGGAGGACTCGAGACACCCAAGTACAGAGCTGGCCAAGATGAAAACAACAACAGGAAGGGAGTCAAGTCGTTCCTGCGGGCTGGTGGAGGTTGTTGTCAGCGAAGATTGTCGCGTGTCACACGTCATCACTCTCTCTTCATCTCCACCACCCCCGGTCAATGCTGCGGCTCAGAATGCCCACGACGCGTCCTTTCGTTATCTATGCACTGCAAAACAGGCCTCCAAGCCAACTCCGGAGTACCGAGAGGAACACATCGGAGTTGGTGACGGGACGAGTGGAGAGGCGGAGGCGGAAACTTGAAAGTCGGTGTGTATTCCAAGCTCTGTCCATTGGAAGTCTGTGCTCACGCATGTCCCTCCAGCCCGGCTCGCTTGTAACTGCTCTGTCCCGCGGGCACGATCGCCACCCGCATTCACCCTTCCACACGGCTCCAACATCCCCTCCCCGTCTTCGCAGTCATTTGTGCTACCACCGGCAGGCGGAGACACCAACTCCTTTCGGCGGCTCGAGAGGCCGCTGGGAAAGTGGATACTGGGAGAGCAGCATGCGTTCTCAAGTGCTTTCAATGTCTTGCCCCCACTTGACTGGCCAAACAGTGTTTCCATTCGTTCCGTCGCGAGGCTTTTCGGCCTGAGAGCATGGGTATATCTACGCTTTCGCCTGAAGCTCTATAATGACTCACAAGGTCGGCAGCGTCTTGACGCGCATACAATCATCATCTTCGCTAACCGGACTAGGCCAGGAGGTCGGGACTTGCGAGTGTGGCTGTCGAGCTATGGATAAACCCGAAGGTGAGTAAAGCTTGCCGCTCTTCTGTCTGTTTTATACTCACTTGTTTTTTGGATAGCCGGAGGGCCTACGCGTTTTGACACGAGCTACCATATATTCTCGCTCGTCAATCCATTTGCGCTACTGCTGCCTTGTTATTGGAATGCTTCCGACATTCTCATCTAATACCACGGGTTCGCGGAGAAGAACGAAATACCCAAACGACACTGTCTATTCCCCCATACCTTCAACCCCGGTTCTTCGCGTTCATCCACCTACAGCTGCCGTTCGCATTCCCACCGACAATTGCACTCAGACTTCTCTGATCCTTCTGGCGCGCGTCACGCTGGTGCTCGTCTTGCGCCCGCATGATCTGGCTTTGCAGACCGCATCCTTCATCGAAGTTGCCACCCCCAATCCCGCGATAAATTACCTCATCGAGAACGACCTCGCTTCAGCTCTTGGCATCATGTTTCGCGATCGATACTGCACTACTAGTACCCTGGTTGTCGGTGAAGGAAGTCAATCGGAATACCACCCCAGCACCCCCCTCGGATTGTTGCGAACGTGGTGGAGCAAAGGTTTCTCGACAGGCACATACGGTATCTTGGTGATTATCTCCCGCGTTGTTTGTAATATCCTCATATTATATTCACCAGTCGACACGGTCGTTGCAGCGGGAACGAATCATGATCTCGCTCAGCGTATCATGCGGCGGCGCAGTGCTTGCCACTAAGGCAGGCTGAAGGGATCCGGAGTCAACGACCGCCGATGCTGAATCTCAATCATGTTAGCGGTTTGGACGGGCGTTGTTTCCCTTGGCCAATTCAAAGGAAAACGGTGCCAGTTCGACGGTAGTCGCTCCCGATACAGTAAGTATTCTCATTTGCTTAAGTTTCTGCATAAATACCTGCGGCAGCTTACACAAACGATATCTTCTCAGCTCGACTTCACGTTCCACTCGTCTAGGCTAGTCACTATTTCCTTTACGAGTGGTTAAGGCATTGACACACATATAGAAACACCTCCATGCAATTCACCGCCCTCTTCGCCTCCCTCCTCGTCGCCTGCGCCGCCGGCAGCGCCAGCGCGACCACCCTGAAATGGCACGCCGGCGCGGGCTGCACCGGCGCCATCATCGCAACACAACCCGCGGCGAAGGCGGGCCAGTGCGTGCTCCTCGCCAAGGGCCGCACCGCGCGCAGCATCTCCTTTAACGGCGCCAAGGGGATCGACTTCTTCGAGTCGGGCGGCAAGCACGACAACTGCGCGAACGGCGAGCAGGCGAGCAGCAAGAAGAACTCGGGCTGCGTGACCGCGCCGGCTGGGTGCGTGTTTTTGCTGCTGGTGTTGGAGAGTTGGCTGATGGGATCCTCCGTGTGGCGAAAGTATGTCCCGCGGGGCAGTTGTCTAGCTGCCTACAGACAAGACGTGAGTGGTACGACCAGTAAAAACGAAGGCCACGTACCATATAGTGAGCTTCTAACGGGGTTTCAGTCCTGCTATATCTCTGGCTCCGTTGTCGATATCCGTTGTCGTCCAACAGCTGACGGAGCGGGATATGCCGCTCAAGGACGAGCTGAGGGAGTGATATCGAGCCTTTTAAAGCGCCGGAAGGAGAGTTGCGGGCGAGATCTGGGGCAAGAACACGTCAGATGAAAAAGGGGAGGAAAATGTCGCGCTTAACACACCAAGAAGACCATTATCTCTTCATCCCGCTGGCCCATACCGTGCTCCTCCTTTCCTAGCAACCACGGTAATCGATTGTTGAGGCGCTGGTGCGACGTCGCATGAGCGAGGACACGACTGCTGGCGTGGACAAGCGGGCAGTCAGTAAGCCATCGTGTGGTGAGTTGTCCGACACCCCGGACTTCTCGTGAGCTTGTGTATAACGAGGGCGGATGTGTAGGGGAGAGGAAGGACGGGTTGGTGAGGACGGAGTAGCTGTCCGTGGTGGTGGGGGAGATGAAGAAGAAGAGATGTGTCACGCGTCGATCTAAGTAATTTTTCCTTCGTCTTGTCTACCTGCTGATACTGCTGCTCACGCCGCTCTGACCTGTAGACGATGCTCTATGGTAGTTTTCTCACCATTCTTTGGCCGGCCTTCTCTGGCATTGACTGGTTTTACGGCCGCTGCTATGGAAGCTTCGAGTTATAACTTATCCAAGTTGCATCCCAAATTCAAGATATGCTCATCGCCAAACTGGTGCTCGGCCAAAAAATGTTAACATATTTCTCCTAGCTCACAGGTGAGGTATGTAGACACTCCAATCAACATCTCTGAAAGCTGCAGCAGGCAGCGAACGCAGGGTGGATAACGGTAACACCAGGAGAATAATGCGGGCCAGCGAGTAGGTGCTGGCGACGATAATGAGTGCAACCTGCCAATGAGCATCTGAGATGAGGGTTGTCTGAATTTCCAGGCATGCATAAAAGATGAGAATGAGGGGTGCCGCGACAAGAACGAGCACTGCTGCGCGCCACAGCCACATCTCAGCAATGGAGGGGAAGGCCGTGGCCCACGCAATGCAGTGGATTGCGCCAAAGAGCGAGCCACACAGAAGTTCATACAGCCATGCCCATTGATAGCACAGTAGAGAAGATTTGAAAGTCCTCGTAGGCTGCACACCAGAATGTCGGTAAGGCCACATTTGATAGAGGGTCGTACTCGTACAGCGCGTATAGGTTTGTGAACATAAGCTCAAATCGCTCGAAAAGTGTTAGGCCGCGAGTGGAATATGGCAATGAGTTTCTCTCGCTGGCGGGGACAGATGTTACAGACAGCTTGAACGGGGTCCGCACATCGAGTGGTTTTGGCAGCCACAGTACCCAGGTGAGAGCGTTGATCATAGCGAACGCTAGCGTTGCAACTTCGAGCTCAGCGAGGGGGAGATGCTGTGCTCTCCGGGCGACGCATTGGGCGATGAACCAGAGGCCTTGACAAAGTGCGAGGCCTTTTGAGAAGGCATCGCCCTTGCTTTTGTCCTCGATTTCCGATTCGAGCACCGCTTGGATCTCTCGTAATACATTTCCGGCCATGATTTGCTTTCTCGTGACGATGGGGTGGCCGTCTGCGTCGACGAAGCCGCCCATGACAATAAAAAACCCGTGCGTAAAAGATAGATCGTATTCTGCCAATACTTAGTTGATGAGATTCAACGAGTACTAACGCACCGTGAGCGAAAGCATGAGCCATCATTGCCTGCTTCCCGGCCAGTCCAATGATGAGCTCCGGCGCAATAAGAGCGACGACCATGAGCTTGAATCGGTGCAATAACGGTCTATTGCCGTCAAGCAGAGTCCACTTCACACGGCTCCATAGCCCAGCTCCCTTGTTAGGTCGCGCAGACGTTGGTGGCGGGACATTGGGGTGCACAGACACCCAGATACACAAGAAGACGGTGACCAAGCAGCCCCAGATGATGTCGAATAGCCGGCGACAGTCGTTTATGTCGCGACAGTCGTCAGTTGTGCTGCGGAGGTGGGCAGAGACGGTGGCGAGAAGGAACAGCATGTCTTGACAGCCACTGGCAGCATGGGAGAGGCGCCGTATAAGTCTAGGGCTGTCTGGCGCTTGCAGTATTGACGTTTGAGAGAGAAATAATGATGTGTGACACTCTCTTCCCCGCACGACCACCATCTATTCATGTGCCACTCTGCTCGACCATGCCAGGCCTCAGGACGGCGGGGGGAGTCATGCGATGCTATCTGGTTTGTCCTTGCCTCGTGCGTATTGTCTTTTCCTGCCACAAACACCGCTCTTCTGACTTGTTACTTTACTTCAGGTAGACTAGACGGAAATTCTATATCAAGGCGCAGACGACGGAGAAGCAGGAGAAGAGGGAGTGGAAGGACGTAGAGAGAGGGATTGGGAGAGCGCAAACAGGTGTGTTATCCAGCGTGTCATTTGTGTGGTCAGTAACTCCGTCTGCAGCTATTCTCCACGCTTCTTCCATCTACTCTCTTTCGAATTCGGTTTACTACCCTCAGGGCCGCCCTCTTGCTTGCCGCAGTTCACCCTCGACCGGTTTCAGTCCCCCGCTTCCGTCGCCATTTGAAAACGACCAGAGGAAGGCTGGTGCCCGTAACGTTTCTGTTTGGCGCGATATGTGGCCCTGGTAGACACTCGCTGAACTCCCAAGCACACATCCGTGAAGGATACTGCGGCAAGGATATGGGAACACTGGGAGCTGCCGCGCGAAACGTGCGTTGAGCACCAACTTGTCGCTAATGCTTTCCGCAATCCATCCAGCTGCTCTATTCCCGGTTTATTCTCCACACACACTGCCTGAGGCATATCGAGCATGCACCATCCGCTCCCTTCACCCAATATCCCCCGTTCTAAGGCTCTTACCCCGAATTCTGCATGGCACCACTTTGGACCGGAATTACCTTCAGATTGTGGCGCGAGGGAGGGGCTCTGGATATGGAAAATCGTGCGCTTGGAATGTGCGTTTCTAATAATGTGTTCTTCACGCTGGGGCTGACAATGTTTCCGCCCATTCAAGCTCCATTCTTCTTCTTCCTTCTCTCGCAAACGTCCCACCCACCAGATATGACCACAAAACTGTTGGGCTTCTCGTTTGCTTTGCTTCTTGAAATAACGAGGAGAGAGAGAGGCCGCGAGACCAGCCCCTGCTCTTCAAGTTGTTTACGGTTGTGTCTTCGACGGCTGTCTCGCCACCGGCCGCTCGGCGCTGGACCTTCCCATCCCATCCGCGAAACTGTTGTATTTGGCCGTCGAGCAAGGGGGAGCACGAGAGGGAGGGGCAAGACAAAACTACAACTCAGTCTCCAATCGCATCTCTGTATCCCCAGCACGCCGACGTAACATCACCAAATTGGTCACAACGCTGTAACGACTTTTCGTCGAAACAAGCGATTACAAGCCGCTTGTTAGCCTAGGTCAACCTTACCATTACTGTTAAGAGACTAGTAACATTCTTTCAAGATTCACTATAACCCTTGTTGTGAATGAGAAGGGTAGTAGTATAGTTGATACACCCTTCCAAGTTCCAATTGGGTCACGATAACAAGTCAAGTAGACAATCGATTCAGTTAGGCTACACTGCTCGTACTTATGTTACAGTATTTGTGCACATTTCAGCTCAGTATTCGTAACAACAAGACCATTCGCAACAACAAGACCCCGCCATAGCATCTCACACCAGTCAACTGAAACTTGAAGTCAATCTAATTGTCCAAAGCCTCCATCTTCACCGAAACCGCTTTCTCTGGCTGCTGCGCGATGTGGCCGACTGCCGCTGTGTTATCTTCCGACCCCGCCTTCTCGTCTACCTCTAACTTTTCGTGAAGGAATTCGAAACAGCAATAATGGCAGACCCTGGGGCATTCATCGTAGTTCATCTTGTTGTCCATGATACGATGAAGAATGGCCCCCGGGGTATAGTCCCCAGCACAGTCATCCATAAACCCGCAGTGGCCGTAGGACTTGGCCAGTCTTGGTGGGGAGAAATAACGTCCGTAATTTGGTGGACTTTGAAGAGGGGGGGACATCGAAGGATTGAATGTTCTAGATGCGCCAGCCCGCCGAACCACAACAACCGCCGGGCGTGTGTGCATGACACCCTCGTTGGTATAAGAGTAGTTTTCACAAAAATTAAATTGCTCAAGGTTTTGGGTTGTGGTCGAGCTTTAAGAAATAGGTGTGGTTGCAGCTTTTGATTACAAGGCAGGTTTGTGTTGCTCAACTGTGGTTGAGCTTTTGGTATTTGTGTTTAAGGTTGAGCTTTGTGATGGATGCTTGTGTGGTGGAAATTCTCAGTCATGGATAAGCTCTGCTGTGGTTTTGTGAGTATTCCTTGCCAAATTCACATGAATATTCAGATATCGGTTCAAAATAATTTGCACCGAGGCTGCCTGGATAAGCAGCCTGGCACATTCGGAATCATCCACTTCCATCTGAAAACTGACCCCTTCAATATCTGAATGAGATCTGGTGCAATTTCTAGCTAAAATTTTCAGTAGTGGGATAGTTCTGCTGCTGGGATTCAAGAACATTATTGTCTTACCAGGACGATATGGCGGTCTGATGTGAGTGTGCTTATGTGAGGATGATCCGAATGCCGGCCTTTCCACTTTCGGGTCTTGATCCGACTAGGTGATAGTGACTAGGCGATAGTGACCGCGATACTCACATCACCACCATTCACAAATCATCATGCTCAAAGCGAAACCACAGCATACTTAATCTAATTCTGCTACCACGCTAATCCTAGCACAGGGTCTGGCCAGCCACTCAACCTGACTCTGACACCACGACCAGGAAGCACAAACATGCAAATTGTCCACAGGCACCTTCATACATACCACAGGTGAGCAGTAAATATTTTTTTGTGATAAATGGCCTCATACGTTGGTGAATCGGTCCTTCGTGGGATCGCCGCTGCCATTGTCGTTCGTGGAATCGCCGCCGCCATTTGCAGAGTTATCAAGCGCTTTCTTATTCTTCTTGAGAGATGGTTTGTCTTTGATAGGACGAGTTTCCTTTAACAAGCGCTGGATGTGCAATCAACAGCAGAAAAAGCCGACCGAGAATCACACACATAGATTTGTTTATACTGCTTCACAGTTTCTGGCATCTCCAGAATACGAGCATCGTCGTCGAGGTCATCAATCGGTCGGGCGTTGACTGCTTTGGAGCTGAGGACCGTGCGATTTTTCAGAGCTCTGCGCACTGCAGAGCGATCACCCGAGAAGACTGCAGTGAGATGTCGTTCGCTATACCCCACAGCCCCAAATTCCCGACATATAACACGGTCGACAAGTGAGAGGCCACCGTGAGGAGTCCTAGGAAATATGAGCCTTGCCCAATGACAGATGGGTATGTACCTCTTTTTCCTTTCTTGACCGACTTCACCAGTGGCACTGGACTTGTTGCTAGGCAATGGCACGGGTAGGCCATACCCGCGCGGGTACGCGGGTTTTACCCGCGCGGGTACGGGTACGGGTCAGCGGCTGTCTTACCCGCGGCTTGATGAATCAGCTGGCTTTGCTCCCTTGTGGTGTCCAAGATGCTCTGCGTTCGACTCTGCTCTCGCGCAGCATTTTTATCCCACCTTCCGGACAATAACCAAGCTGTCTCTCCCTCCCTGCCTGCCCAAACCATGGGTAAACCCATACCCGTACCCGCGGGTATGAGTACTGTGGCTGTGCGGGTACGGGTGCGGGTAGGCCTTCGGATACCCGTGGGTATACCCGTGCCATTCCCTACTTGTTGCGAAACGGTGAGCATGATCGACACTGGACTTAGATGAGTGAGGCTTACGGTGGGTTGGGGGCTTGTTGCGCGAGCCATTTGGTGGTGGTGGCAGTCAAAAGGAAGAGCAACGACTGCGGCGTCCCAGTGGCTGTGAATTTAAACTCGATATTGAATGTCTTTAGAATTTCTTCTTCTTTTCACCTCTTCGAATGATGGCGGCTGAGGTGGTAGCGTGGGAGACATAGTCAGTACAGTGTGTGAGGTCGTCGTTCGTGTCGTGCCAGTAGTGATGGTGGTAGTTGGGAGTCAGGTTTTCTGAGTCCGAGTCCAGGTGACGCTGCAGTGATCCGGGCCCACGTGATCCGGCCGCTGATTCTAGCAGTGAACTTGCATGACGAAACCTATAAGTAAGCGGACTTTCTCGCTTCATGAAAGAAAATAATTGTGCATATCATTCAGGAGCCAAACCTAGCCTATACACCAGGGCAGCATCCCCTCCATACAAAGGCTCGTCTTCGGCTTCACCACCATCCTCACTATCAGAATCTATCCTCGCATCTGCCCGCCAATCTGCATCTTCCTGTTGTTCATCCTCCTCTTCCTCTCCCCCAATAATGGCGGCTTCAGTAGTGTTGATATCGATATCAGGTATAGCACTTGAAGAAGAATCTGGCTCCATTGGATCTGGGTCATGGTGTTGAACGTTGGGAACAATATTACGATGACCGACAACATTGCTATGGTAGCGCATGATCATGTCTCGGTCCACCATCCTAAATTTTCAGAGTCAGTAAATTTCTATTCAGATAGAACACGAAAAGCCTCTACAAGTTGACATAGTAGTATCGCCAATCCAGGTCTTTGCGAGACTCGTGACGCGCCACCGACTTGGTGGGAAGATAGTCCGTCGTTTCCCCATGGCAAAAGGCGGGAATCAAATGAGTACCCCGAACAACATCCTGAGGATCAAGAAATCCGAATGCGTTGGGATCTTCATGCGACATGTAGTGAAGACGAGGTAAACACTTTGTTTTGAAGCCAAAACAATAAGTCATGTCCCGTTGGAACCAACGCACCCATAGAAATTCAATGCGTTTTGCTTTTGCGGGGTGATCCGCCAGTAACACATGAGCATGAAAGATTCCAAGAATTTCGCCGTACCAGTAAGGGTGAGGGTCCACTTCATCTTGAGAGCGTACGATGAAGAATCTTCGAGTACGTGGGTTCAGCATGTCCTGATCCCTCCGAACATCATAGGTCGTATAATTGACCTTCATGGTCGCATGGGTATAGAGCCTGAGCAAATCTTTTTCCACGATGACGTTCAACAAATCGTCTGGACCAAACTGAATGTCGGGGTCATCAATTTGAAGTAGTCGCTGCCGGAAATGAGATTTGAGCTTGAGCGTGAAGTCCTAGAATTACATTAGTCAGAATAGGAAACGGACATGGACTTGATGAACGTACTTGAAGTGCAGGGTCGGAAGCATTTTGGTCGACGTCCTGACAGTCATTTAGAGCAAGACTGACGATAACCTGAAGGAACACCAACCATGCGTTCCAAAGGTGGCCCATCCGAGTCGCTACCCGTATCTGAATCGAGCTCGATTTCTGCCAGGTCCGAGAGATTCCAGGAAGTCCTCCTTGAGTCGGAAATGTAGTGGTGTTGTTCCGGTGGAACGTAGGCTCCATAAGCCATGTTAGGCTGGGGCCGTAGGGCTGATTTAAGACGTTTTTTTGGCAGTGAGTGTGGTGGGTCTGTGTGAACTTGATGCAGGCGCCTCCAACATGGGAATTCCTACGGTTGTCGCCTTTTCTCTAGTCCTCTTCTCGTGTTCTTTGTACCACTTACGCCTCTCCCACATAGCTCTCATCAGTCTACGACGATGCTCATGTTTTGCGATTTGTCGGGCGTGGTCTCGTTTATTGGTTCGTCGATAAAGATGTTTGACTAGTCGGTGCGCAAGCTCCCCCTTAACAATAGATTAGCCAGAGCGAAGTGAGATATACCGCTTACAATCTGGGTCGAGAAGGAATCTGTTGTTCCGAAACGCAATATTGTGTCAGGATAGTCCGCCAGAGAGTGTAGCTTGTAAGTAATGAGATTAAAAGGCTTTTCTATTTTGTCCTTTTTAGGTTGAGGAGTCTTCGCTGCTGACGAGAGTTTGGCGTTGGGCAACTCGGAAGGTTCGGCTGGTGCTTTCGCTTTTGATTTCGCTTTTGATTTCGCTTTCGGTTTGGATTTCGGATTGGCCTTCGGTTTCTGGTTAGTGTTGGGTACTGGGCTTTGCTCAGTTGTGGCTCCGATGACTGCGACTGTTGAAGGCCCGGGAGATGTCGAGAGTGGAACGGGGATCATCACAACGGCTGGTGCTGAGGTCGCCGCTGATGCAACGGGCTCCATTGTAGCGGCAGCGGCAGCCTTCGATGCTCTCTTTGTCCGTTGGCGCTCCTCCCGAGGTAACTCATAAGTTTTCACATCGATAGTTTCTCGGGCGAATCGTCGAATCGTTGTTAGAAGGTCGGTGGTTGCGGTTCGGAAAAGCTGGATAGTTGTGGTGGTGTGCATTCGGAGTTTCGCATAGCCATGCCAGATGGCCAGCTCAAAACAGAGCTGGTCCACCAGCTTTTGATGCATTGGAAATATGCCATCAACGACCGGCAGAATGCACTGTATTAAGTATATATGAGATAATGACAAGGCTTTGAGTTCGCAACCAGACCTGTAGCACATCTTCAAAGTCCCTGGCCGCTGCATATTTCATGCCCGAAACGTTGTGACCGAAGGCGCGTATAACAGAACGACCAAATGTCTCAACTTGTCGAAATCTAGAGTTAATCAGATAGAACAGGACTAGAGTGACAAGTATTTTGCTAACCGCTGGTCAAACTCGTCAACGTTCTTGAACGTTTGGAGCATACGAATCAGATGTGTGATGATAGCTTTAGCTACTCCAAGTTCCACCTCATGCAATAAGTCGGGGACAAATAAGGTATAAAAATTGAAGGGTGTTTTCTCCGTATTGAGCTTAGTGAACGCATTCTGTCTCCGAGTGAATAGAAGCGACAGCACGGACAAGAATGAAATTACCCGCACAGGAACCCAGGATTTATCCTTTAACATCTTGTCGATCGAGCCCTTTATAACGGGAAGACCACTTCGGAAGATGGCTCTGCGTGCGTCTTCAATAGTTTGCCGTCGAGCATGGTCATCCACTCGGAGGACTTGTCGGCGCTTCATATCATTCACAGTGCCTGTCTCCGCGATCTGTGCCTTAGCAACAAAGCACCGAGGGCATGGATGGCCGCCCAAGCTTCTGATTGTAGCCAAAAGAACTCTTTCTACATGTGAGAACATTTATTAGACTGAAAATTGCACTGACTTTTCGGGATAGTCAGCACCATAGATGAACAAGCGAGGGAAAACGAGTTGAACAATGCCATCCCAGCACCGAATCTTTATGCCATTGTCGTAAGCGTCCATAAAGTCTTCCGAAAGCAATAGTTCCCATATTCGATGAATTAGTTCCCGTTTCAGGTGAGTATGAACCTCGTCGGGCATATCGCAATCATATTGCTGACGATACGCATCACGAATCGAGTCTGGAAGCTGTGAAACCTAGGTAAGTGTCGAACAAACATTAGAGACACATAAATACATTGGCAAAATAGACTTGATGGAAACCGGCATTGGAGGAGGGCTTGGCTCGAAAGCTTTTGGAATGGTTTCCAAAGAACGTGTACCCCGGCCACAGAGAAGCTGCACCAAATTGGGCAAGATGGGTAGCATCCGACCACTCCATCATGGCCATTATCATGCTTTCTACTGGATCATCAGGCGATTGGGGAGGCGGAGGCTGAGGAAGACTCTGGTAAGCCTCGAGCATCGCCGCGGAAGTATAAATTTCGCCGAATACTTCTTCGTGGCTGTGAGGAACGTCGGGGAGCCCATAGGAGTTTAGTGGAGAGTCGGGGTCGCTCAGAGAAACGGTATCCGGTGATCTTGAATCGTATGTTGGGTCAAATCGAAGAGAAAATGGAGTGGTGTGTAGTTTTCCGAATAAAGGTCCTTGGAGTACCTCTTTGATAGGGTCGAGGAGGGGACGATAATGGATATTGGTTACGATGAACTCAGGGGCATTGGTTTCCTCCTGCAGTCGTCCAACACACGGCAATTTGAGCTTCACACTGCCCTCAATCCACTTGTCTGAAACCCCAAGAGGCTCCACTCCCTTCCTATCAAGATCATCCAGAAACTTTTTGGTGGAGAAGGGGCGAGGGAGATCGGCCAAATTGACTCCATCGGAGTCGGCTTCATCGTCTGGCTGAAGGATATTGTGGACAAGGCGGTCAAATCCAGAAATGGAGCCAGGGTTTTCTTCTTCGACATGGTATTTCATCATGTGCGCTACGGACGCGTTAGGAAATGGATAAAACCACGGCTCTTTGGGAAGAGGTAATGCGTCAACGTTGAGTTCGGTGTCTTGTGGCGCGAGATATAAGTCATCAAGAGTGACATTTTTGTCGGGGTCGTGTGTGGGACGCCGCGGATAGACCTTGTATAAACCGAATAGATTGGGTTGAGTTTGGACCCATGTTGGAAGAGGTCGATGCGGAGGAGTAGGTTGTGGCAAAGGCCGAGCTTCTGGCTCAGGCTCACTTGAAGACACAAGCGTATACTGGTGGCGTATACGAGGGGGTAAAGGAGGAGCAGCGTCGTTGAACTTTGTGGGAACACGACAACGCCGTTGTGGTAATCCACTCTTGCGATACTTTTGAGGCTCCGGAGGTGGTTCTTCTATTTGCATCTGGACAACGTAAGATAGTGGCTAACGCACACTTCGAGTTGGAGCGAGGCGCACCTGCATATCAACTGTCGGGGTAAGCGCCTGTGGAACTACTGACACTTGCGCCGCCGCTGCCGCCAGTCGCTGATGCACATGTGCAACGGATTGAATGTGCAATGCTCTGAAGCCCGGGCAAGTGCGGTCATGGACGCTTTTTGCATCTCCCAAATTTCGCAGCGGTTTGTGGCAAAGTTCACATTCGTATCTTGCCTTGGGCATGGTGAGCAATTTGAGCCTAGAGTTGCTCAAGAGTCGAGCTTAGACTAGCGACGACTTATGATGTTTTCGTGAGACGGTCCAGTGAGCGCTCACTGGCGAACTTGAAGTTGAAGTCTGAGCTGATAAGCTTACATAATCTGACTTGACAAGATTCGATGCGGGACTCGAAAAACAACGAGTAGAGTAACCTACAGACTAGAGAGCTTATAACCTTGCTGAATTTTGTATTATTAACAGCTTGGATGCGAGACCAGCGCCTATCCTACGGGTGAGCCTCGGAAGAACAAGTCGTCCTTGGGTCGTTACCGCAAGAAAATCTCCAAACGTCGTCAGGTGGTCCTTCAGTGTCAATAAATCCACCGTGTCCTCTATCGCCAATGCTTTCCCTAACAGTCTACGCTGATGAACCAAATCCTTGAATATCTAGAAAAACGTTACACGAAGGAAATGCCAGACCTACCAATGTCGTGGACTGGGGTTGGGGGAGACGCGAGGCAAGGGAGCTGAATCGATGCTTGAGCTCGGATCATGCCCAAAAGTTTTGCGGGCGATACGACTGCTTGCTGCTCAGTTTGTTTTGGGTGATTTGTATGGTAAAGATAACTTACCTCGCGAGCCAATCGAGACGCTCCTGAATACAACAGAGACTTAAATAAAAAAACTGCATGAGCAAAGAGGGAAACTAGACCTTGCCCAAGACCGCGTGGTCAAGGATCAGCCATCGAGACGCTCTTTTTCGTGTTGTAAGTTGCCCCAAGGTCAGCGTTGCTGCGACAGCTTGTGAATCTACGCGAATGAGGAAGCGTAAAGAAAACATTGGCTTGACGATCTCAACGTGGACTTGATGAGACTGAAACGACCAGTCCGGGCTCTGAGTCGATGAGCAACAGAAAACAGTAGGTGTCGGGTCCCTTAGCACGATCGATAATGGGAAATTTCGTCACTGAGCGCAACAGCTCCAAGTTGTCGAGGAAACATTGGGCCCGCAGGAGCTGATGGGAAAAACCACAGCGAGCCGGATGGTATAAGGAACGCCTCGATTTTTGCGCGCCGAATCTACCTCATAGACGTTCCGCTCACTTGCGTAACAAGTTTGGCGAGAATCGGCATCACAAGGGCGAAATCGTACAACGAATTATCTCCGCCTCTGATTACTTTGCGATGCCCTTTGAGAAAGCCAGCGATGGTGTTGAGTAGATTGTGCGTCAAGGGCGGAGGGAGTGTCCTTCGTATGTGTAAGAAGGCTGCTGGAGATCGCCGTTGTCGTGTCTTTCTGGGCGCCAGCAAACGATTCGAAAACATGCCGCGTAAGGAGCACAGGTTCATTCCATATCAAGTCAATAATCGCCCCTCGCGCCGTTGCTGCAATCAGGAAATTTGGGTCCAAGACCTTATTCGCCAAAGTTGGGAATATAGCAGGAATGGAAGAGACCAAGATAACACGCCGCATGTCCCTTGAATCTGACCACCAGAACTCGAGTTCATTCTAAGAATGACAACTTCTTCCGCGAATTTGTCGGCTGAGGGTGAAGGCGAGGCTCGAGGACTTGAAGCTGAACTGGGTGCTGAGCGACCGGACCCCGCGATAGGCATATTCCGATCCGCCCCAGGGAGTTCTAATAGATCCAAATAGAGTGCAGGAAGATTCGATATTGGTGTTTTGACCCAATCCAAGTGCTGATCGACTTCCTCGTCATCGTCGGCCCAGCCGATTTCTGCCAATCGTTTCCGCAACTCAGGTGGAATCGCATCTTTGTCGTTGCTAGTATCTTGTTCGCGTATAGATTGTCCTCAGACTGTGCCTATATCCGTGGCAACGAAAGCAAGCGGCCCTCGAGTAAATTTGAAAGCACGGTGGTTTCGGTCTATCAGCACCTGGTGAGACATGATTTGAATGCGGCAGTTCGCAAGTGCGTTAATCCTTCGGACTGCTTCCAGTCGAGTGGTGTCGTCCGAACTGAGAAGAGATCGTAACAGCATATATACGAAACGGGAACACACACCTGCGAAAATCCTCTTCCAGTTGTACCATCATCTCGTGAGGAGTCCTTTCTGCACATTGCCTGACGATAAATCATGCCTTTAAGCAGAAATAAATCAGTTTCGAGAGTGGTCGCAAGCTTTGAGGGACTTGCCAATCCGACAACACGACTTCACAAATGAGCCTGTTTTTTTGATGAAGCGGAGCTGTGCTGCCAAGACTTGTAGCGCGGTCGCCACCAACTCTCCGAACCGTGAAGACGAGGAGGTTTCCCGTGGGGGGTCGGGCGCTTTTTTCGTGAGGACGACAGGGCATTCTATGCACTTGAGGAGCGGCAGGGTCCCGGAGCGTTTGCCAACTGGTGCGAATTTCTGCAAGCTTTCTCATCCAGCATAATAGAATCGAGCGCCTGGCAGCCAGTAGTTGACAACTAGACGGAGGCCGTTGGGACATTCAAGTTCAGAGAGAAATTATGGTATGACTCAGATGTGCACGTGCCGATTTGGGCGTAGCCGAAAACTTGAACAACAACCCAACTAAAATTAATGCGGACTCTTTAAAACAAAATAACTTTGGGCAGTCTAAGACAATGGGATTGTAAGGATACTAATGACAGGCAACAGGATCAGAGGAGAATATTTCGATAACGTCCTTCACAGAGTCCATCGACACATCAACCACCGAGTCGGTGTCCTCCGAGTCGTCCAACGAATCCGCAGCTCCTTCTAGGGCGTTGCAAAGTTCTTTGAGGGTGGAGATGTTGGTTTTCGCCTGTGAGTGAGCCTCCGTAATCGCAATTTGGGCGTTGTGTAATACCAACTTCAAGTTGGCCACATCTTGGATGAGCAGGTCGTTGTTGTTTCGAACATGCGCCATTTCCTGTTGAGCAGTGTCCCGGCTTTTGTGCAGATGGTCGCAGCATCGACGAAGAGACTAGGAAGGTTGAAAAACCCCACAACAGGACGAAAGAATAAACCACACCTTGAGCTTAGATTTCAACTTCGATTCAAGGCCCGACTTCTCATCAAGTTCCTTGCGCATCTCGGCGACTTCTGTCTCCAGTTGCACATGTCTTTCCAACATCGTCTGCTCGTTATGCTCCAAGCGCGAAATCTCCTCTTGGAGAGCGTTGTTGGCGGCAGTCGCTTCTTCAAGTTGCTGCTGGCTTTCGGTATAGTTGGAAGCGATTGTTTTGTTCATCTCCTCCAGTTCGGCATACTCTGCCAAAAGATGTTTGTAATTGAGAGAGGCTGAGGTCGCTGTTAGCCTAAGTTCAGTGGAGCCCTTGGACGTACCCTCTTTCTCGCTCGCTGTCACTTTCTCGGCCAAGCTGGAAGGAAATTGTCAGTCAGCTGAAAAGACGATAAGTCTGGGAAAATGACACACAGGAGAGGCAACAGAGATTCCAAGGGAGAGTGCTCCATCGATGGCCCAGAGGATTTGGAGTTGGAATAAGCTGGAGTAAAGAGGCTCCGGTGCAGGGCAGGCACGTCCGAGGCGCTTGATTGAGACGGGCCTTGCGCAATAAGCCGCCCATGGCGCTTCAAGCCAGGGAATACCGCGGGATCGTGGACGTCGGAGCTGCCAGTGAACATGGGAAACGCGAAATAACAGCACAAGTGTAGCAGGAAGAGTAGGAAGGGGAGCGACCACAACTTGAGTTGCGACCATATGAGCGGGGGCTTTTTGAGAGACGACGAGGATTTCGACAAGGCCATTCTGAGTTTGGCAGGTCAAGCGATAAAATGTCATGTCACGGCCTCGGTTGACAGTTGATCAGCTTACCCATATCACCTTTCAACTTTTGGGTCGCCCAAGATTCCCATTCATGGACCTAAAAAGCCGTTACAACCCTTGTTTCGACTTAGAATCAGGACGCAAGTTCTAATCGGTTTTCTTCCCTCTGGACCCCACGCGCCCCTCCCACTCGCCGGCGGTCAACTGCATTCTTGTCGAGGCTGCACAGTGGTCTACGATGTCGTTGCCACCGGTTCCAGAACGTACTTCAGCTTTCAGGCCATTCTGTTTTCGACCTCACTGAATGATCCCAGACTCTGATTCGGCTTCTTCGAACACTGAAGGACACCATGACTTCGAAGAAATGAGGGCTGAGAATAGGCTGCTTCATAGAGAGGTTGCAAACCTTCTTCATCTCAATGAACTTCTGGTAGAATGCAACGACAATCTGGCCAGTGATGTGGACGAACTTGCTGAGAAACTGGGACAGTCCAAGCAGGTGGAGACTGCATTTAGTCTATTGCATCAAGTCTTGCGACGACAGCTTGACGAGCGCAATTCTCGAATCGCGGTAAGCATTTTCTTTCTTTATTCGGTCTCCTCGGGTTCGATTATTTGTTTAGAGGCTCCAGGGCGAGATTACCGCGCTCCAAGAACGCTTGGCTGAAGCTGTGGCATACTCGATAGATCTTCAGACCCGTCGGTTGCGCTTTTTCTTAAGCGTTGAGCAACTCTTCAGACTCAGAGCTAACCACGGGGTCACCATGGACGTTCAAACGGATTGAGGGTTCAGTTCAACTCATCCATAAGCCCAACACTCCCGTCATTAACTACAACCCTTGTCTTCTTAAAAGCCAACAAATCTTCTATTCAACGCGTTTCAAGTTTGGACTGAGAGATCGTACCTAGTAAGGCTTGAATAATGCGGAGGGTGCGTCAGAAGTAAGATACCACATAGTTGACAGTACAAACTCTGGGATACAAGTATGTAATGGTACAAAGAAAAGAGAAGAAACCTCGTCTAAAAAAGCTGGCACTCCTCACAATTAACGTGATGTTGAGTGTGTCCGAAGGGCACCCCGTGGTTACGCATGCAAACTCTGGTCCACCCAATGTCCTCCTCCGTATTGCGAATATCCCCGACGACTTTGTTCAACTCGAAGCGTAAGTAGTCCAGGTACTGGACTTGTTCGTGGATGCATTGAAGCATATATTGTTCTTGGGTCAGGGTTCGTTTCAACCGCGAGCGAAGGAGGTGGAGGAGTTTCTCTCCCTCCGCAGA